TAGCCAATTGAATAAGAAGCTAACTAAAAGCTAACTAATAGCAAGACAAAATATTCCCTAGGCTAGAGAAACGCATTCTGTATAATTCATGTGTATGCCCTAAAATATCTTATATAAAATACATTTAATATATTATATTTGTTTTATATTTGCTAAAACAAATTTAACAAAAGAATTTACCATAAATAGCTATAAAAAAAGCTAAAATCAAACCAAAGATACACACAAGATTACTTAAACCTCTCCCAGCAATTAATGATACTTAATGATAAATATACATTTGAGAAATAACGTGTGCTGACATGAGGGCATTATTCTATTTTGCTACTCTACCTGGTAGGCAAGCACACTCATAGGAATGCTCGCCAGTCTGTCGACAGGTTCCACCATTAAGGCATTGGGACGGGGCACAGGGCAGTGTGGACACCTCACATGTTCGACCGCTGTATCCTTGTTGGCATTGACAGCGGAAAGACCCTTGGGTGTTGAGGCAGAGACCGCCGTTGAGACACATGCCAGGTTTTCGGCACTCGTCAATATCGTTGCGACAGTTCTTTCCCTGGTAGCCAGGCGGGCAGGAACAGTTGTAATGGTCGTTCACACTGGTACAGCGAGCCCCGTTGGCACATGGACTTGTGGCACAGGCGTCGATGTTACCGCAGTCTTGTCCTGGAATTTAATAAGGATTTATGGTCAGTTCCTGATTCGGTTGCTCTGTCACAGTTCTTGTCTCGGTTGCTCTGTTGCATCCCTTCTAATTCTAACTATGTGTGGACGGTGTGCTGTACCTCTGAAGCCTCTCTGGCAGACACAGGAGTATTGTGGGATTCCGTTCATCACCTGGCTCTTGCATGCACCTCCATTTAGGCATGGAGATCGATGACAGGGATCCAGGTGCTGACAGAGGGGACCAATGAAGCCTGGGCGACATCTGGGGGTAGGGGGTATTCACACACAAATTAGGACGTCTACAATACTAACACAGATTAAGACAGCAAAT